GCGTCCTATCAAGGAATACGTGATGTTCGTTTGCCTTCTTATTGGTGATATTAACTTCGATTGTGAGATTTAGGTGATGCTGGGTTTTACCACTCTAAAGTTAGTACTTACCCCTTTATAATTGCTCAATTTTGTAGGGAAAATACCCTGAGATTAAGCAAATATTCTGTTTCCTCTCAAATTTTCACCCATTGATTTTATTACTTGTTATTTTTAAAAATAGGTTTCTATTGATTTGAGAGAGAGAGGGAGGGAGGAGAGAAACATATATGTGAGAGAGAAACATTAATTGGTTGCCTTCCATATGCACCCTGACTGGGGACCGAACCATCAACCTGAGCAGGAATCGAACTGGTGACTTCCAGTGCATGGGATGACACTCAGCCAACTGAGCCACACCGGCCAGGATAGCCCATTGATTTTAGCATCCATTGGTGGCTCTTCCCTGTAAAATTACTTCTGTGGTGTTGGCCTAATGGTGACTTTGTATTTCTCTCATCCCTTCTCATTTATTAATTGGAATTCTTTTGTAAATGAGACCTGTTTCTTATGCTCCATTTATTATTACTTTAAAAATGTGTATTTTTATTGATCACGGAGAGGAAGGGAGAGAGAGACAGCAACATCATTTCCGGGGATTGTGGCATGGGCCGTTGGCTGGAATCAAACCTGGGGCCCTTCTGCAGGCTGACGCTATCTCCCCCAAGAAAAAATGCCCTCTCCCCAGCCCCCTGGGGGCTGCCTAGGCAGACCCCTACCCTCTGACCGTCCTGCATCGTAGGGAAGACAACCCCTGTTTTGCTTCAAGGGCTCATGTCAACAAGGGCTCATGTCCTGTTCAGGGTCCCCATTAAAGACTCATCCTCACTGGCGCAGAAGAGGAACTGGGGGTGAGGGCAAACCCCATTGTTGACTGTTTCCACACTCCCCTGCCTCGGATCAGGGGGCATTCCCATTCCCGGCAGCCACTGAATTTAACAACGGCTTCAGCCCAGTGAAGGGGGGGGGGGAGGGCTGGGAGCAGGGTGCCAGGAAGCCAAGCCTTGCTCGCCAGGCCTTTGAAAAACGGCATCATCCCTGGGGAGAGTGGATGCCACCTTCTTCCCCTCATCCCCACCCCAAAGCCACTGGGTTCTGCTGACGAGTCAGAAGAAACGGCTGGTGACTGACTCACCAAACGGAAATGAGCGTGCCAGAGGAACAGGCAGTGCGCCCCCAGGGCAGAGAGGCCGAGGATCTCTGCTGGGCCCCCAAGACTTGGCCAGCTCTAGATGGCCTAGGTGCCAGGGAGGCTGGCACACCGGGAACTCTGCCCAGTGCCCACCTGTGCAGAAGCCCTGATTGCCTCCGTGAGCATCCAGGGACCCCAAGGCCAGGAGAAAGGGGAGTCCCAGGGCCTGGAGAAGGAAGGACACGTGCCTGCAAGGGAGGGGGGGGGTGCGGGGAGCAGCCTGCAGCCTCGTGAAGAGAAGTGTGTTCTGACCCACAGGGATGGGCTGTTGCACAGGGGCGTTGGCTGAGGCCGCTCATTTGCATCTTGCGTTTGCATAGTTACAATGGGGCACAGCAGAGCTGGTGACTCATTCCTGCCTCAGACACAAGGGCCTTACCCATTGCAGTGGGGCTGGGCCCATTGCAGGGGGGCTGGGCCCATTGCAGCTGGGAGGGGAGAGCGGGGCTGGGCCCATTGCAGGGGGGCTGGGCCCATTGCAGGGGGGCTGGGCCCATTGCAGAGGGTCTGGGCCCATTGCAGGGGGGCTGGGCCCATTGCAGGGGGGCTGGGCCCATTGCAGAGGGTCTGGGCCCATTGCAGGGGGGCTGGGCCCGTTGCAGGGGGGCTGGGCCCATTGCAGGGGGTGGGGGAGGGGGCTGGGCCCATTGCAGGGGGGGGGAGCGGGGCTGGGCCCATTGCAGGGGGGCTGGGCCCATTGCAGGGGAACTGGACCCATTACAGCGGGGCTGGGCCCATTGCAGGGGGGGGGAGGAGCGGGGCTGGGCCCATTGCAGGGGGTGGGGGAGCGAGGCTGGGCCCATTGCAGAGGGGCGGGTGGAGGGGTCTCACCCCAGTTCCCACGGTAAAGCCCGTGCTCCAGACTGGAGGGCGGCCAGGGTCATCGCCCCGTTCGGCCGAGAACGCTGCTTCGGTGAGCCCCGTCCTCTCTTTGGAGGCGGCCTGGCCTGTCTGTCCACACGGTGGCCCCACGGTTCCGGGCGCCTGGGCCACCGAAAGCAGACCACGTTAGCGCCGGCTGAGGCTGCGCTCAGGGCGGGAGTGTGAACTGGCCTTGTTTTTCTTCTCGTGGCTGCGTGTGAAGATGGTGCGAGGCGCAGCATGTGCTAGGACCACAGCCACGCCCTGAGCTCGCGTCCTGGCTTCGCCACCTCCTCGCCGTGTGACCTTAGGCCAGTTGCTTAGCTTTTCTGCGCCGCAGGTCTCCCCCTCCCGCTTCCCCCAAAGGTGGTCTAGCCTTCAGGCCTCTGCTGCTAAGCACCCCTCCCCTGCCGGGGGCCCTCCGGAGTGAAGTGTCAACCAAACCGCTCAGGTCCAGCTTTTGCTCCTGGTGTCCCCACCCCGCACCCTTCCCCCTACCCCCCAATGCACACACCGGCACGTGGAGGGTTGCCGGTCCAGGCCGCCTGCAAACTGCCTCCTGGTTCAGGGCCGAGGACTCCCTGCCCGGACCAGCGTGAGGGCTGAGCAGACGAAGGCCCGAAGGTGACAGTGAGGGTGGCCCCGGGAGGGCCACGGGCATCCTCTGCCGTGGAGGTGCCACTCGCGGAAGCCCCCGAGGTCCGTGTCCTGGGTGGCTGGTGAGCGGTGTGTGCAGCTCTGCCCGCCACCCGGGCAGCGGGAAGGCGTGGGGCCCAGGAGGCCGGTCTGTGCCCCGGGCTCTCAGTCCGTGGCGGGCCCAGACCTGTGCACACGCTGGCTCCTCTTTCTAGAACATCTGCCTCCCGGCTCCCCCCAAACGTTTCTCCTGATTTCCTCATTCATCTTTTTTTTTTTTTTTAAAAATACGGTTTTTGCCGAAACCGGTTTGGCTCAGTGGATAGCGCGTCGGCCTGCGGACTGAAAGGTCCCAGGTTCGATTCCGGTCAAGGGCATGTACCTTGATTGCGGGCACATCCCCAGGAGGGGGTGTGCAGGAGGCAGCTGATCGGTGATTCTCTCTCATCGATGTTTCTAGCTCTCTGTCCCTCTCTCTTCCTCTCTGTAAAAAAATCAATAAAATATATATATTTTTTAAAAATACGTTTTTATTGATTTCAGAGAGGAAAAGAGAGGGAGAGACAGAAATATCAATGATGAGAGAGAATCATTGATCAGCTGCCTCCTGCAGGCCCACTACTGAGAATCGAGCCCGCAACCGGGGCATGTGCCCTTGACCAGAATAGAACCCGGGACCTTCAGTCTGTGGGCTTTATCCACTGAGCCAAACTGTCCAGGGCTGTTAAATTGTTTGTTAATGTCTGTGTCCTACCAAGGAGATGGCCTGTGTCACTCAGCGCTGTGCCCGTACCACCTGCCACACATAGGTGGTCATTAATTACATGAAAGAATACAGGCATGCAGACCGCCGCGCCGTCCCAGGACAGCACCGGAGTGACTGGTTGCTGGACAGCTCACGAGGGCTGCTTTCCCTGGACACTTGGCTCCTCCCCGGCCGGGATGCAGGAGGATGTGCCTCTGGGGCCCCGGGAGTGACTGCCGGTCATGCGGCTGAGCCAGCCTCGCATTCCACAGCTCTTTGCATGTTGTTTGCATGGCTCAGCTCTGGGTGCTTCTGCTTGTGGTTTCCTGGTCTGTCCCCGGCTCCACAGGGCTGGCCCGGGCCTCCTCGGCTTCCCTCCCTGGCCTGGCCGGCGTGGTCTGCCTGGTGGGTGGACGCAGTGGGATTCCTGAGGGAGAGAGTGGTGGTAAGACCATAGCGTTCGTGTCCTGAAAGCTTACCCAGCACATCCACCACGGTGACGTTTAATCCTCCCAGCAGTCCTGTGGGGGCAGTGCTCTCACGATCCCATCTTACAGATAAGTAAACTGAGGTTTGGGAAAGTGAAAAAGTGTGTCTGGAATCGCACGGCTAGCAGATAGCAGAGACCAGATCCGAGTCCAAGTCTGATGACCCAGAGGCCAGGCGTCTTCCCTGGCTCACCTACCTGTTGTGGTTCCTAGGGACCTGGGGGCCTCACACATATTCGATACATCACCGAGAGGCGGGCTGGCCCCTGTGGAGGCGCTTAGAATTCGGCCCTTCCCCCAGTTCCCTGTCGGGTGCTGAGACCCCCTCTTAGATCCCTTCCTCGTGCCCTCCGGCCTGAGCTGAGCATCCCCGTTTCTCAGCAGGACAAGGGAGGGGGGTACCAAGCGGAGGCTTTGGGTAACTGGCAGCACTGCGATGCTTCAGAGAGAGCAAGGAAACATGGCCCAAGCAGAGGTGAGGGCAGGCGAGGGACGGTGCCTGGGGATGGGGCACCCTAGCAGAGAGAGTGGTGGGGGGCACATGGGCCAGCCCCCACCAGGCCTCGGCGTTGGAGCCCCCAGTGCCCTGAGAGGGATCTCCATGCTCATCCCTGGGGCTGAGGGAGGCAGGCCTGGACATTCAGAAAAATCCCCAAGCCATTCTGCATGTTCCTGGAGGTCCTTCCTCTGGCCCGGCCTCCTGGGGCCTGGCCATGCCCCGGGCCTTCCCCAGGCGCTTGCAAACACGGCCGCCTTGGGGCAGACACGTCTCCTCTCCTGTCCCTGACCCCGCGCTTCCTGTCGCATCGCACCACTGGCTGCAGGAGCACTGGGCACAGCGCCCCCGGGAGCCATCCCAGCCCTGGGCAGCTGACCCCTCCTGCTGTGCCCGCAGCACCCAGGCCATCGCAAGGCTGGCAGCACTGGGCTGGGGGGCAGGGGGGCTTGTCTGTGCCGTGTGCACGGATGGCTGTGCGCGCCTCACAGCCGGGGGCCCCCGGACTGACAGTGTCCGTGTCCACGCAGGCGATGACTCAGGATGCAGCCAGGGGCGACTACGTGCACAGAGGACCGCATCCAGCACGCCCTGGAGCGCTGCCTGCACGGACTGAGCCTCAACCGCCGCCGCTCCACCTCCTGGTCAGGTAGGTCCGAGAGAGCCCGGGTGCTCGGAAGGCCCCAGGGAGCCCCGGACCGGGCAGATTCTGGCTCCAGCCCGGGGTGACTTTGCAAACCCCTGGGCCTCAGCTCGGTATGCAGCCGTTTCTCCTGTCACCCAGGCCGTCTCCCTCTTCCTGCTTCCTCAGCAGACGCTGGAAGCACAGTTGCTATTTAACCTGCTTGGAAATACCGGCTCGGCTGGTTCCGAAAGAGCAGCTGGGACCTCACAGGCAGGCAGCTCTCCGCAGAGTCCCGCTCACAGGAAGCAGGAGGCTTCCATGCTCCATGTTGCCCAGGTCCGAGAAACGGAGGGATCTGCCGGCTGGGGCAGCTCTTTCTCCGAAGGCTGGTGGCTAATTGTAATCATCCTGATGCTTGTAAAGGTTTTTTTTTTTTTTTTTTTTTTTTCTATTCCATATCTCGCTTGCCCCCCTCGCTGCCCCAAGAGAGAGATTCCCACTGGTCCTTGCACACAGCTCGGTTCATCCGTTCGCTCGTTCCTACCTCAGGGCCTTTGCACTCGCTGCCGGGGTGCCTCCTCAGAACTATGCCCACCGGCTCTTTCTCATCCGGGTCTCCGCTCAGGCGTCACCTCCTGGGAGGCTCTCCTTGGCCCTGGGCATTACTCCGATCTGGATTAAACGCTCTCTCACTGGCTCTCTCACTGGTGAACTTGTGTGTCGCTTACCCTCACGGGTCCTCCGCTGCCTTGTCTGGAAAGTGAGAATTACGGCAACAGGAACCAGGGCCCTGAAGGGAGGGGCGGCTCCGTGGAGACGTGTGCAGGGCCTGGCACGTGGCAGCTGGTCAGTAGGCGGTGGTTTCCTTCTCGCCTCTGTCCCAGGTGAGCTCACAGGACTGAGAGAGCCGCGTTAAGAAAAAATCACACAGAAACATCTGACTTTTACACACTTACAAAATCCCGTGACCACACGAAGCACACTATTGGGGCCCCCAGGACTTTGGGAGGGGCCCCCGCCATGAGGGGGGCTGGAGCCCCATGAAACCCCTGGGGTGGCCACTTCTGCCCCGCCTGCTCTCCCTGCACACACACTGTGTGTGCGCGCACACACACACACACATATACACACACACACCACACACACACACAACACACAACACACAACACACACACATCACACACACACCACATACACACACACACACACCACACACACACACCACACACACACACCACACACACACATATATACACACACACACCTCCCCCCCCCCCCCCACACACACACACACACACACGCACAAGCGCCTCCACGACTACCCCTTTAATTTTTAGGGGTTTACCCTCGCTGACTGCAGGGAAAATAGAAATTAGAATTCTTATTGACACAATAAGAAAGTGTGGGGAAGTCAGGATGACAAAGTGTTCGTTCTGACTTTCAAAATAGAAACGAATGTGGCTCCCGGTCCTGGGCTCCCGGCCAGCAGTCCCGGGAAGTCCCCTGCTGGCAGGGGCTCAGCCTTGTGTTGGGGGAGGTGTGGGGGGGTCACCGTGGCTCCTCTCCCTGTTCTTCCAGCAGTCGCTGCCTCTGCCCTCCTTCCCGGCATCTCGGGGGCTCCAGCTCCCCCTGGAGGAAGCAGGGCAGGTGGTGGTGGGAGACCTGGTGCCCTCTGGAAGTACAGGGGCCCAGAATCGTGGCCGCTCACTGGCCCTTGAGGGGGACCCCAGCCCCTCTCTGTGTCTCTTCAGTTTCCAAGAATAAGAAACTTGTCATTGTGTCTTCACGGGCACGATAGGGCGGAGTGTTGGTACCGTTTTCGGGGCCTCTTACTTCATAAAGGAATGCTCCCGTGCAGGCCCAGGGTCCCCACTTCTCTCCACCCCCAATCTGACCCCTGGCCGTTCCCTTCCCAGCCGGGCTGTGTCTGAACTGCTGGAGCCTGCAGGAGCTGGTCAGCAGGGACCCAGGCCACTTCCTCATCCTCCTGGAGCAGATCCTGCGGAAGACACGAGAGGTGAGGCCGGCCAGGGGTGACGGAGAGCTGGGAGCGGCCACGGGGTCACGAAAGCGGCCCCACAGAATGTCAGTTCTGGGTGCCTGGGCCGCCGAGGGCCGTGGCAAAGGCTCTGGGAACCCCGGGCTCTGTGTCAGCCGTGGATGGAAGGCTTCTGGGAAGAGGTGTGGGCCTCGCAATGAGAACACGTGGTGCGTGACCAGGGTCCTTTAAGCTGCTTGCGTGAATGTCCAGGTATTGACTAGAAAGAGGGAGGAAGCCCAGCAGAATTCCTTTCCTGATAAAGACCCATGAAAACATAGGTGACTGGAGAGGTAAAGGGAGACCTCCTCTAACAGGTCAATAAAGAGGCTTCTGTGTCTAAGGAGGAGTGCAGTTAGAGCTGAGCGGGGCTGGGGTTCCTGGACAGCTAAGTCCCTAAAGGGGATTCTGGCTCTTTTCTTTGGAATTTTCTTCAAAGTTTTATTTATTAATTATCAGTATTGCTGTTATTTGTGTGTGTTTTAATTTTTTTTTTATTGACTTCAGAGAGGAAGGGAAAGGGAGAGAGATAGAAACATCAATGATGAGAATCATTGATCGGCTGCCTCCTGCACACCCTTCCTGGGGATTGAGCCTGCAACCTGGGCATATGCCCTGACTGGGAATTGAACCGTGACCTCCTGGTTCATAGATCAACACTCAACCACTGAGCCACACCAGCTGAGCCAATTTTTTTTTTTTTTAATACATGGCTGAGTTGGAAAACATTTGCCTTTCTCTATTAGCTGACCCTTTACCTATATGAAGAAAGTATTGGTTTATCAAGACTCCCAAGGTCCCAGCTCTGGCACCACCATTTCCCAGGTGCATTTATACGCACACCAGGTTGGAGAACTAGCCCTCCCCTGGAATGCTCACCGCACAACCCAGGTGTAAAGGATCAACTACTGTGCAGTGACGGGGAGCAGGCGCGCGGTCTATTCAGGAAGAAGGAAAGGAGGCCCTTACAGTTGAGCCTTTGGGGGTCACAGGCCAGGGGAGATGTGGGGCTGCCTCTGAGGCTTCGGCCCATGAGTTCCGGGCAGGGCTAAAAGGCGGGAGAATCCTACATCCTGCGCTCAGGTGTGTATGTGCTGTGGTGGGTGAGCGCTAGGAAAAAGACCGTGCACAAAAGAATAACTAGAACTTTAAACATATACAGGAAAAATGTTGCCCCCGTGATCATAAAACAAATGCAAATTAAAATCATAATGAGACAGCCTTTGCCGAGCAAATTAGCAAAACATTATAATAAGCAATGCAGAGAAGGTTGTAGTGAAACTGGCATGTTCAAACATATAAGGTCTTATAAATGGCAACATCCTTTTGAAAAGCAACGGGGCAATATGTTTAAAAGATCATACGTATGTTTGTAATCTTGATTGATTCCACTTCTTAAACTGTTTTTCTAGATAATCTTACAAATTATCGAAAAAGAAATTTGCTCAAAGGTTTTCATTGCAAAAGTAATTAAATAGCAAGAAATGACCTCAGATGTCTAAAATGAAACTAGTACATTATAGGTATCTACAAGAAGGAATATCATACTGCAAATAAAAATAATGGGTATTATATAAGGTATTAACACAATTTAATATGTAATATTATTACAACAGTAATATTGATCAAATGGTTTAGGGGAAATTGATTACACATTTGGAAAAACACAAAGAAACCTAATTCGTACCATACAGCAAATGGAATTTTAGATGTATTAAAGACTTAAATTTAAGAAAACAAAGTTTCAAAGAAAATATATGAGTAATCACATAATCGGTGCACAAAAAAGCAAAATTTCATAAAAGAAAAAATTAACACATAATTCATGTACACAAAAAATCCATACATTTAAAAGCAAACAATAAACTGGAAAAAAAAAAACAAACAAAAACATGTTACAATATAGGTAGCTGGTAAATGTCTAACCAGAAGGGGAATAAAAGGTGGGCTTAGAGATCTGTAACAAAACAGAAATTCATCTATAATATTATATGTTAACACATCAAGAGTAAAAATATGCACACCATGATGGCTTTGCAGAGGGAAATACACAGAGAGACAGGGTAGGAGAAGTACGTTGAAACATTAGCAGTGGGTGAGTTTGGAAGGGGCCATTGTGAGAGGAGTTTTTTCTCATTTCTATTTTCCAAATTTTGTCTGGTGGTTGCATTTCTTTTCTCTGAAAAAAGAAGAAAGAAAGAAAGAAAGAAAGAAAGAAAGAAAGAAAGAAAGAAAGAAAGAAAGAAAGAAAGAAAGAAAGAAAGAGAGGGAGGAAGGAAGGAAGGAAGGGAAGGAAGGAAGGAAGGAAGGAAGGAAGGAAGGAAGGAAGGAAGGAAGGAAGGAAGGAAGGAAGAAAGAGAAAGGAAGGGAGGGAGGGAGGAAGGAAGGAAAAGACAGACAGAAAGACAGACAGAAAGACAGACAGAAAGAAAGAAAAAAGAAAGAAAGAAAGAAAGAAAGAAAGAAAGAAAGAAAGAAAGAAAGAAAGAAAGAAAGAAAGAAAGGGAGGAAAAGGAAAGGAAAGGGAAGAAGGAAGATAGACTAGCCCAGCCAGCATGGCTCAGTGGTTGCACATTGGTCTGTGAACCAGGCGGTCACAGTCAGGGCATATATCCAGATTGTGGGCTCGATCCCCAGGGGTGACGTGCAGGAGGCAACCAATCAATGATTCTCTCCCATCATTGATGTTCCTATCTCTCTCTCTCTCCTTTCCACCCTGAAATCAATAAAAATGTATTTTAAAACAACAACAATAAAACAACAACAATATAACACCCGTGAATGAGCCTCACCCTCCCTTCCTCTCCACAGGTCCAAGAGAAGGGCTCCTATGACCTCTTCACACCCCTGGCCCTGCTCTTCTACTCCACTGTCCTCTCTGTAAGTTCCAGGGGGGCAGGCGGGCGCTGGAGGGGGTGGGAGGTGAGAGAACGGCCCCACAAACTCGGAGGATAAACAGGGGAGAGAAACTGTCCATCAGTGACACTCGAGATGCATGTTAACCTTCTGATGGCTTCAGCCTAGCTGTCTTGGGAGCCTCCAGTAACTCACATGGATGCCGCTGTGCCTGGCACATCTGGCGCCCATGGAGGAGCCAGTCCCAGCCTCTCACAAGCCATGAAAGAGACCGTTAGGGAGCTCCCATGCCCACCTCATTTGTACCCCCGCGGTCAGCGTTTCCCAATGTAGTCACCCCTGTTGGCCAGACCGGGGACATCAGGTGAGTCCATGTACACGGAGTCAGTTCACGTCACAGAAGAAACGGTCCCCTCTTGTGAGGATAAACCTGGTTCAGACCTTGAAGGCCATCCCACAAGATGAGAGGAGGCAGCAGCGCCCCGTTAGGTTGACTCCAACTTTTCAGAGCGCCACTCTCCTGACCTGGGTGAACCGTGTTACGTTTAACAAAATCAACGCATTTCCTGGTTCCCTCTTGCCTATGGATAGCTCACTGCCTGTGGGTTATTTCCATTCTTCCTGGCCTTGCTCCGGGACATGGTGGCTGCCAGGAAATGCGTGCCCTTTGTGGAACATTCCAGAAAAGCAGCAGGTTCTGGTCTGAGGTATCAGTGCACTTTCCCGCACTCAGACGTCTCTGCTTGCCACCCCCTCTGCATTGCAGACCCCGCACTTCCCGCCAGACTCGGACCTTCTTCTGAAAGCGGCCGGCACTTACCACCGGTTCCTGACCTGGCCCGTTCCCTACTGCAGCATCAGCCAGGAGCTGCTCACCTTCATCGACGCTGAGCTCAAAGCCCCAGGTCAGTGCCGAGCCGGCCTGCGCGGGGAGCAGGGACCATGCAGGCAGGGGGTTCTTCTGGAGCTGCCCTTTGGCTGCAAACCTCCTCGCCTCTCAGCCTCTAGCTCCTCTCTGCCCATGGCCCAGAACCTCGGCGTCTCCTCTTTATGGCAGTGTGTGTACCATATATGAACCAGCATCCGATGGCTGAAAGCAGTGAGCATAGGCAGTGACTCAAGAAAGAATCCTTGTCCTGCCCCGTATTGCTTAATTGGTAGTTTCGTCCAGTACACCAAAAGGTTGTGGGTTCGATTCCCAGTCAGGGCACATACCTAGGTTATGGGTTTGATCCCTGATCTCGACCCAGTCTGTGCGAGGCAACTGATTGATTTTTCTCTTTGCATCTCCTCCCCTCTCTTTGAAAATCAGAACAAGGGAAAGGATAGAAAGGGGAAAAAACAGAGGGATTTTTAGGGGAGGCTGAGCAGGAGGTCAGGGCAAGGACACCACACCAGGTGGCCTGTGCCTCTGCTCTGGTTATGCAAGTGGCCTCTGAGGCCGCCCAGGTCCCACAGCGAAGTCCATGTTGACATGAGGCCCTCGCTTGCTCTCTGCCTCAGGAGCATGTGGGGGAATGTGTGTGTGGATAGGTTCAGTCTGGCCATGGAAGGTGGCTGGTGGGAATGGACAGGTTAGTGGGCGCCATGACAAGTGTGGACAAAGGCCTGGGACTGTCTAAGTTTTCATGGGTAGACTCTGCAAAGTAGGAATTCTCGAGAAATTGCAGATGCTGTCACTCACATGCAAATGAGGAAGAGGAAAACTATTGTAGAGCAAGAGAAAATATAATCAAGTATGCTGTCCTGAGAGGTAGTCGATATTAGAGTAATTCATCCCATCAGTCGTTCAAAGGAATAAAGTCAGTAAACAACTGAATAGGCTCCTCTAAAACATTTGATAAAATTCAATATCCATACCTAATATTTAAAACCCCTCTAATATATGAAAATATTTAATATACAGATGTGTTCTTTTTAAAAATATATTTCCTCTCTGTAAAAAATCAATAAAATATATTTTTTTAAAAAATTGGCCATTTAATAGATGCTATCAGGATAATGGAGAAACCATAAAAAATGAGTTAAAATTTTATCTCCAAAAAACAAAATGGAGTTTTATAAAAATAACTTATAGATGGATTAAAACCTGAAGTGTAGAAAACAAAATCAGAAAAGTAATAGAAGAAAAATAGGTTACCTGAGCTCAGAATGGAAAAGGATTGTCCCTGAGCCAGCTTCTGCTGGAGGATTGTCCCTGCAAGACAAAAATTATAAAAGGCCAACAGATTTGAGAGCATAAAAATGTAAGGCTCTTTATTTGGCAAAACCCACTATAAGTGAAAGGTAAATGACAAACTAAGAAAAATATTTTCAATAAAAATTAATAGTATTGAAACCCATGACGAGTTCTTTTGAGTCGATTAAAAATAGGCCAATACACCAGTGAAAATTTGAATAAAGCATGCTTTAAGCACATTAAAAAAAAAGAAAAAAAGAAAAAGAAAAAAGAACTAACAACAGCTGAGGAACCGCTTCCAAGACATTCACCCTCATTAGTAATAAAGAAAATGCAAAACTTAATAATGAGACACCATTTTCCCCTAGCAAATTGGCAAAGATAAAAAAAAAAAAAGCCAGTATTTGTTAGGAAAAGGGGGGGGGGGGGGCTATGTTCTCTAAAACATTAAAAAGAAGATCCTTTCACCCAGCAATTCCATCCCTAGAAATCTGAACAATTATGGCTATGCAAAGATTTTCCTACAAGGATGTTCATCGATGGATGTTTCCTACAAGGATGTTCATCAAGGATGTTCCTACAAGGAGTTCTTGCTAGTCATCAACCAATTCCAAAATACCTAAATATTGTACATGACTGAGTCTATTGTGTCAAAGTTGTTTGGTGGAATGCTAGCCCATTGTTTAAAATGATATAGAAATGTAATTACTGAGATCAGAAGATGTTGAGTAACTTGAATTTTTAAAAAAGCAGGCCCCCAAATACTACATATGTTGTAATCCCATTTTTTTTTCTTTTAAATCTCTACACACCAAGCCCTATTCAGTACCGACAGTGTTTCATTCTCATTGTACACGTTATACACAGAGAACAGGAGTACCAAATCTTATTCCCTAACAATTCACTTAGGAAGCTCAGGACTGAAGCTCTGTCTGTAGATTTCTTGGAGGCATTCATGACTTCCTTCCCCAACCAATCATCTATTTGATCTGTCTGCCCCCAGCCAATCAGCTGCGGGTGGTTACAGAGCAGAACAGGCACAGGCTGAGGTTGGCAACCACCCAAGTCTGTCTATTGCATGGACCTCCCTTCATGGGAGAGACTTGGTGGAAGAATTAAGAAATCAGGAAGACCCTGAGGAGAAGGTGTTGAACTAGGAAAGGTGCTTGGTCACATGATGAATTGAGAAATTGCCAACCCAACTTTCCAAGGTGCCCTAAATGAACAGACCAGTTTAAGGTTAACCTCTTTCATTCTGGTCCTTCCCACTGTCCCCAAAGGAAGTGGATCTAGATCACTCCTGGGCTTCTCACTGGTGACCAGAATTCCTTTAATAAGAATGCAAAGTTTTGCCGAAACCTGTTTGGCTTGGTGGATATAGCATTGGCCTGCAGAGTGAAGGGTCCCAAGTTCGATTCCAGTCAAGGGTGTGTGCCTTTGTTGCGGGCACATCCCCAGTGGCAGGTATGCAGGAGGCAGCTGATCGATGTTTCTCTCTATCCCTCTCTCTCCCTTCCTCTCTATAAAAAAAAAATCAATAGAATATATATTTTTTAAAAATAATGCAAAGTTTTATTCCTGCTTATGATTTAGACAGAAAATACTTAAGTGCAAATGCCTTGGCAGGACTTTCTGCCTATAGCCGTGGCCGGCAAACTGCGGCTCTCTGGCCCCTTGAGTGTGGCTCTTCCACAAAACACCACGGCCTGGGCGAGTCTATTTTGAAGAAGTGGCATTAGAAGAAGTTTGAGTTTAAAAAATGGGGCTCTCCAAAGAAAGTTCAATCGTTGTACTCTGTTGACTAGTGAGTTTGCCGACTGCTGGTCTCTACCAAAGACGTAAACAACTCTTTCTTTCTTTGAAACAGCGGAGGGAGATGTCGGGGCTGGGAAGGACTGTCACCTGCAATGTGGGGCGACCGCTTCCCAATTTCAAGCGGAGCCAGCTGGCCTCCTCCGCTGGAGGCACACTCTGCCTGGAAGTGTGTCTGTGGGCAGCTGAGCAGGAACTCTGCTCTGGGCGCCCAGCGAGCAGATGGGGAGCAGAGGGGCGGGCTTCGGCGAGGCCCAGATGCCGGCACACGGGGTTCTAAGCCTGGGGGACAAAAGCCAGGCAGAGCAGCCACTGGAGCTGGACTCAGAGCAGGGAGGACCTTCGGCACTCTTGTTGCCCCCTCCCCTGCTGAGGGGCAGTGCCCAGGGACCACGCGAGGCCTCAGATACCCGCTGACCCTGGAGCAGGCAGATGTGTGCAGAGGGTCTCGGGCCAGGCCGCCGTGCTAGGAACTTCTCTTCCAGGGAAAGCAGAACTGAAACAGGAAACCATCTCTTTCTCATGTCGGAGAGGCGTCTTCAAACAAAAACCAAGCCCTCAGACAAGTGCATAGCGAGGAGCCCGTGTCCTGTAGATGTGTTTGGCCCATCACCGAGGGAACCAGCGACGTGACGGAGCTGGCGTAGAGGAGGGTGCGAGACACGGATACACGTTTCTCATGCGAGAGCTGAAGTAAGGCTGCAGAATTAGGTGCCAGATGAGTCAATATCATCTAGGAGAATAGAACTGTTACCCTTGAGGGTATCTCTTGTCCGGAACAAAACATTCATCTCGCATCCACACGTTAACCTCCAATGTCACAGAACCTGAGCCCTCAGCAACAGCAAATAGTAAGTTAACAAAACAACCCTCAGCTGCAGGAGCCTTAAGGGGGCTTGTTAGAAACTGCTTCCGTGTGGCTTTGTGGAGGCCTGTGGCTGAGGGCCCCACCCTGTGAGCCCAGCAGAGAGAGGCAGCGGGAGGAGGCATAGAGGGGGGCGGGGCAGGGCCTGGAATGGAGGCCAGGAATGAGCCCTGGGAGAGAGGCTGAGGCTGAATCTCTTGGCAATGACCAGTCCTCGGTATTAGACCTCCGTGGTTTCACATCCTGGGGTTCTGGGGCTGCTGGAAAGACATTTTACTTCTGGGGGCCTCAGTTTCCCCATCTATAAAACGGGACGAGGCTGTCTCTTTCTCAGAGCCATTTGCGAGGCTAAACGCTGACCTGCATTGACTTCACATGGCTTGGGCAGGAGCGTGTGGGGGGTGCTGGCTTAAGAGAGAGACCCTGGCAAGGTCACAGGAAGAAGATGACCAGGGACCCGAAGAGCAGGCCCTCCACCCAGGGAGCCTCAGGGGGCGCGTTGCCATGGTGATGAATGAAACAGTTGACTCTGCTTTGATGTGGCTGGGTAGCAGAGGAAGTGGGCAGGTTATGAAGCTCCGGGCCTCCCCCTTCTTCCTGACTCCACCCCCCACCGGGGTGCCTACCGGCTGCGCTCTGGGGCTCTGGGGCGGACAGGAAACCTCACCTCAGTGTTGCCAGGTCCTGCCCACCACAGCCTCCCTCCGGGGCTGAGCCCACATGTTTGTTGGATGTTTACTCCGTGGCCACATGACTGCACTCAGCATAATACTCACCCGCAAAGAGTTTATCTGTCATCCTGAGGGGTGACGGTGGGCATCCGATGCGTGAGTCACTCAGAGTGCCCCAGCCTCCACGCCTGCCTCTCACCCAGACCACGGCCCACGAAGTCAGAGGGAGAAGCACTCTTATTCCCATTTTGTATATGACACAACCAGGACTCGGAGAAGTTTGCTTCTTGCCCAAGCTATAGAGCCAGGTGTGAGAGAAGAAATGCAAGTCTTGGTATGACAAAGACGTCTGCTTTGTTACATATTAGTTGGTGACCTGGGACAGGTTATGTATGTTTTCCTTGACAAAAGCAGGGCTGAAATTGTGGTTGATGGTGATGGTGGTGGTGATGGTGGTGGTGGCGGTGGCAATGGCTGCCTTACCTGTGTGCTTACAGTGCACTAAACACTGCTAAGCGTCGGCCCCATCTATCCTCAGAGCAGCTCCTTGGAGGTATTTCCATCTTTCAGTATTTCCATCTTTCAGATGCTGGAAGGCCAGAAGGCCAGACAGTTCAGGAGCTTTTCCGTGGTCACCTACCTCACAAGAGCTCTACCACTTGAACCCATGTCTGCTTGAGTCAAAAAAATCTGCCTTCTCACATTGCAAAATACTGTTTCTTTCCAAAGACCCAGGCCGGGGACTGCCTGCCTGACAGGCCCTGGATGCTCCTGGCTCGGGTCTTTGGGAAAGAAACCTTCTGCCCTCTTCCTTTCGCTTAGTGCCCTCCCACCCTGGGCCGCCTGCCAATCAGGAAAAAACCCGGAGGGGTCAGTGCTGCCTACCGACTGTCGGCAGGTGGACGGTGGATATTCTTCAGTGGCAACACGTCTCTCTTGGGACGTCACTGATCATAAACATGCGCATCTTCTACTTTTTGCCTCTGATTATGGAAGGAAAGGGTTAGGGCTCGTAAAGGACAGTCAGCCAACACGGACCAGCAGGAGAGGGTCTGTGCTGTTTACACTCCGACCCCAGGTACATGGGAGTCTTTCCCCGACACGCCCGTGCCAGCTCCCCAGACACCAGCTGCGTGTCCACAGATTCAATCCAATTCCGACCCTAACTGCCTGGAGTCAGCACAGACCCCGCAGGGGAGGGCTCAGTCCCACAAGACCACCCGCACTTCAGATGCTAACCGTGAGCCCAGGTCTCCCTTACACCTGAGCAACCAGCTAGCTGCACATCAGGGTTTCCCAGAGCTCCCTCCTCAGGGGCAGTAATGTGCTAAAACAGCTCCTGGAAGTCAGGAGAGCACTTTACTTACGTTCACTGGTTTATTGGCAAGGATGCTATGAAGGATACCGAGGAACAGCTGGGTGAAGGGGTTCAGAGGTGAGGTCTAGAGGGGTCCTGATGTTGTGGGGTCGAACCCTGGAGTCAAAAATAAGACCACCGGAGGCTGCTAACTGATTTAAAAAGCAGGCAAGGATTTATTGAGCTGGCCATCGACGGCCACGAGAGCACCACACACAGAGGAGTCCACCCTCACGACCACACCGCCCCAGGTGTAAGCAGTTCTTTTAAAGGTCTAAACCACACAAAAATTTTTCCTTTGTTCTAAGTTCTAAAGTCTAGCCAAAACCGGTTTGGCTCAGTGGCTAGAGCATCCGTCTGCGGACGGAAAGGTCCCAGGTTCGATTCTGGTCAAGGGCATGTACATTGGTTGCGGGCTCATCCCCGGTGGGGGGTGTGCAGGAGGCAGCTGGTCAATATTTCTCTCTCATCGATGTTTCTAGCTTTCTATCCCTCTCCCTTCCTCTCTGTAAAAAAAAAAAAAATAATAATAAAATATATTTTTAAAAATAATAAAAATAAATAAAATCTAAAGTCTAAGTGCTGGGAATAGCCACATCCTGCTGGACACTGGAATGTGGCCCTCTCTTGCCAATGCAGTTTTTACAGAAGCAGAATCAAGCAGAGTTAATAATCTCTAAAGGTTATCTACAGTTTCAACTCCTGGAGCTACTGAGTCAATGGAAACCAATCTCCCGTGGTTCTGGTCCACGGGCACAGGAAAAGCAAGTGCGTGTGTGCAGAAGCCAGAAGAGCAGGGTTAACATTCAAACAGCAGTTTTTACCTAAGTGTGGTTTGCTACCACTCTTCACTGAGTGTAGGAGCTTCTGTCCCTGTGGCGTTGGGGTGCACCGCCCTCCTGGCACCCACCCTGGGAGATTTCTGAACGCCGTCGGTTAGGGGTTTCATGGAGAGCCTGCTGAGTAGGCACGATGGACTAACTCTTGGCTATTGATGATTACCTCAGTCTCCAGCCCCTTCCCCCGCTGAAGGTTGCCTAGGCTCTATGACCCACAGGTCTATGACCCCGCTAGCAGGGTCGCCGAAGACCATCAGAAAACACAGATATTTACGTTACAATTCATAACAGTAGCAAAATTACAGCGATGAAGAGGCAACGAGAATAATGTTATGGTTGGGGGTCACCACAGCATGAGGAGCCGTATAAAAGGGTCGCGGCATGAGGAAGGTTGAGAGCCACTGTGCTAGACAAACGGCAGGGTCTTCCTTCCTGCTTCCTGCAACGCTTCCCGGGTGGATCGCCTTTCTGCTCCCCACTCCCCCGGGCCCAGGCTGGCCCTGCCCCTGACGGGAGACAGGGACCCCGTAAAGACCTCCAAGCTCCAACAAGGGCGCTGCCCCCCGAGGCCCAGCCTCTGCTCTGTCACCCCTGTCAGTGAGGAGAGCGACATGGGCTTTGGTCTCCTCCCGAGGGTGGCACAGACCCCAAGACACACTGCGGAGGGTCTGTTTCCAGCTGCAGAACTGAGCCAAGTTGCAGGAAACACTTCAGTTCCTTTCTCCACACTTTTGAAGTCAAGGAGGCCGACAGCTGGACCGGGCAGGGAGGAAGGCTGGGAGGGGGCATGGTGCAGAGGCTCAGCCTGGGAGGGACCCCAGCAGGGGGTCTGTGGTCCTTGAAAAGTTGTGGGAGGCCAGGCCCAGACGCTGGAGGAAGGAGAGAGTGTGGGAGGGGCTGAGGCTGAGGGGATGGCCCCAGGGTGCCCGGCACGCCCACTGCAGGACACCCGGACTGAGAGAGGGCAGTGTGACAGGAGCCAGGACTGCTGGAGAGCAGGAGACTGTCCTCAATTCTCCTCTCAGGGGACTCTGCCCACGCCTCTGAGGAGCAAAGCTTGGCAGGTGGCTGGAGCCCGGTGGGGCCTGGGGCCCCTCCTCTCAGAGGCCCCTGGTGCTGAACCCCATCCAGGAACTCTCATCCTAACTGTCCGGTGCGGCCCCTGTGGGGAGCAGGCACGAACGCCGATGGACCCAGGTAAAGCGTGAATCTGTTCTTTTCCTTCGGCCACAGGAATCTCTTACCAGCGGCTGGTGAGGGCTGAGCAGGGCCTGTCCATTCGGAATCACCGCAGCTCCACTGTGTGAGTGCCCTTGGGAGGGAGAAACCGCGTGGGGGTGGGGGAGGGGTTAGGGGTGGGGTTGGGGGTGAGGGTAGGGTGGGGTCGGGATGGGACCGCGCCCACTGTTCCACCGTTCCCACACCAGCACCCCTGCATCCCTCCCTCACTGCACCCCACCCAAGCCCCCAGCAGACAGGCTTAGACCTGGGACCCGGAATTGCCGGTGGTGATTAGTGCACAGAGCCGCTTTCTAGGCTGGGGGTCTTTCATCAGATTCCTAAACAGGTCTGAGACTTAAAAAGGAAAAAAGGTTAAGAACCAGCTGCGTTGATCGTGCCAGGTGCTGGGCACACATTACCTCACGTCACCCCACTTTTCAGATGAGGAAAGGAAGGTCAGAGAGGCCAGGTAGCCTCCCCAAGGTCACCCAGCTACGAGTGCTGAGCCAGGGCCCAAAGCTCGGTCTTCCTCCAAACCCCGTGCTCTTCCCACAGTGTCTTCCTGCCGGGTTTTAAAGTAGCATTTGCCAAACTTTTTTTTTTTTTTTTTTTTTTTAACCAACCTACAATAAAGAATTCATTTTCTATGACAGCCTGATACACACACACACACACACACACACACACACACACACGCAGCCAAAACAGGTTTCATGAATTGAAGTGTACCCTTACCCCCTAAGGTGAGCTCTGTCCCCTTCTATTCCACCTCATTTAAAAGGCCAGTCTGGGTGTGACTTCCCGATGGACTGCATTGCCCTCTCACGGGGCTGGGGCAGCAGTTTGACAAACACGATAGGCGAAGCCTCCAGCCCAAGGCCCCTCCAGCGGGTCTCGGGGCAGGTGGGCGCTCTCCCCTGGACACCTGGGCACCCTGATGCAGCTCCAGCAGCAGCAATTGTAGTCACCGCCCTCCCCCTTCCCCAGGCAGCGCAGGTTTTGAGCGAGACCGAGGTACAAACCTATTTGTAAATGCTAGCTTAGCAAATACATAGCTACCTCCCGGGCGGGGCAGGGGGCAGGGGGCTGGCGAATGCTCACCAACCTTATCGGGCACTTCCTGAGCTCTGGGCATCGCTGCTCCCTGCACTCCTCATGCTCCCCTTATGGGAGAGGCAGGTTTAAGGTCGGGGAACTGAGCTCCAGGGGGGTGGGTAGAAGGTCTCAGGGTTAAGGGTGAACTCGCTTCTGTTTCCAGTGGGTGGGAAGGAGGGTGGGTTTTCCAGCGGAGATGGCGAGCTGGTGGCGAGGCACGGGCTGGCCGGCTGGTCCTGCACTCAGTGAATCTAGGGGAGGAGTGAGGCCATGTGTGCCCAGCACCCAGGGTGAAGGGGAGGGGCTCAGGGGGGGGCCGCTTACAGGAGCCTGCCCCCTTTTTCTTAAAAGAGAGAAACCAAACATAGTTTCTTTCTCCCCGTGATGATGCCTCTGACAGCGCAGGTCCTGAGCCCAGGCCCCGCTCTGGGCAGAGGCCACAGGGACTGGGGGGAGCGCCTCCTGCTGGTGCTGCTCTGCGCTGGTGGGAACGCAGCTCGCAGCTGGGGTGGGGGGAGAAGGAGCCGCACTATAGCTTGCTCAGGCAGGCGGGCGCACCGCCCGGGGATGGCTCGGACGCCTTCGAGGAGATGCAGCGATGAGGGTTGGCATGGGCGACGTGAGAACTGTCCTGGGCTGCTAACCGTTAACTGAGTAATCGACACCTCAGGGTTCACGGTTCTCAACGTTTGTGTATGTTTGAAATTTTCATAACGAACAAACGTCACACTGGCCCCGCAGAGGAGCCGGGGTGGGGCGGGGAGAGAGGTGGAGGCGGCTGGACACACTCCTTCCTCCCGGCCATGGCGGCTGTGAGGTGCTCGGCCAGCTAGAAAAGGGTCCCGGGCAGAGGACTCGGATGCAGCCCTGACTTGGCCCGCCTTCCTCCTGGCAGATGCCACCCCACCCCGCAGCCGTGGCTTGAGGAGCAGGGCGGGGGCCGAAATCTCGGCCCCCTGCACCGCGGCATGCATCTGTCTGCTTCTCCAAGCTCCTAGCCACCTCACCCAAAACACAGTCTTCTCTCTCTCTCTCTCTCTCTCTCTCTCTCTCTCTCTCTTTTTTTAAAATACATTTTATTGATTTTTATACAGAGAGAAAGGGAGAGAGATAGAGAGTTAGAAACATCGATGAGAGTCATCGATCAGCTGCCTCTTGCACACCCCCACTGGGGATATGCCCGCAACCAAGGTACATGCCCTTGACCGGAATTGAACCCGGGACCCTTCAGTCCCCAAGCCGACGCTCTATCCATTGAGCCAAACCGGTCCCGGCCACACACACACACAATCTTCTCTTGAGTAATCTTATATCCGTTCAGCTGTCCCGTAGGGAAAAAAAAAAAAAAAAGTTTATATAAAAATGAAGGTAAAACTTATTTTTTTAAAATCGAGTTCAGTGTTTAAAAGGTCTTTGAAAACACTGGGGGGGGGGGGGGATACTCAAAAATAGACTTTCCTCTTAGAACCGGGACCCTGAGTCCCCACGCTCGTGGCTCAGGCCCTGCCTGGGTTATGAGGAGGCCGGGCCTGGGGGTGGGGGGGACACAAGCCCAGCATGAGGCCCTGGCTGTGCCCCAGTGCCCACAGCCAGTCCTCTGTGCCCCCAGCACCGTGCTGCTGCTGAACCCCGTGGAGGTGCAGGCGGAGTTCCTGGCTGTGGCCAACAAGCTGAGCGCGCCCGGGCACTCGCCCCACAGCGCCTACATCACGCTGCTCCTGCACGCCTTCCAGGCCACCTTCGGGGCCCACTGCGACCTCGCGGGGCTGCACGGCCGGCTGCAGGTACGTGTCCGGGACCGGGGTCCCCCTGCCCCTTATCGCAGACCTGGGTCTGCCCTGCCTTAGGGCTGCAGTCTCCAGGGCGCACGGCCTCCTCACCCCGGGGCACGCCGGGCGGGGGTCGGAGAGCTGGCCTTGCCAACAGGCTCTCTGTGGTGCTGGGGCCCGACCAGATGGGTGGCACCCACCTCAGGGGAAGGAGATTGAGACGGAAGCTGGCAGCTGGCAGCTGGGTGGCCCTGGACAGACCCTCAGGCCCCGGGCCCTTCTCTCGTGACCGTGTCCTGAGAGGGCGGTCAGGGGCGGGCCTGGCTCCGGGTCTGTGGGCGGAGACGGGTGATGAGACGGGGAGGGCCCGGGCCCTGTGCCCTCGGGGAGACCAGCCAGCCATGGCACAGGGCCAAGTCGGCCGCCTCCTGGGGTTCCAGGCCAAGACCCTGGCCGAGCTGGAGGACATCTACACGGAGACGGCGGAGGCCCAGGAGCTGGCAGCCCGCATCGGGGACGCCGCCGAGGCCCGGAAGTGGCTCAGGACCAAGCTGAAGGCGGTGGGGGAGAAAGCCGGCTTCCCAGGCGTCTTAGGTGAGGCTCTGGGACGGGGCCCACGCTCCCGGCCGGCTGCTCCGGCTCCCGCCGTGAGCGGTCCAGGTGGCCTGGAGGCTCTGGGGACCACGCTCCTCACCACGTCCTCACCCTGGTGCCTGGTGCCCGGCTCCTGCCTGCGGGGTCAGGGCCGGGGGCACCGTGTGGGGCTGTGGGTAGGGGAAAAGCGTGTGCCCATCAGGGGCAAGGGCCTGTCGCCTGGCATGAAGACAATGCGGAAGTGGCACGCAGCACACCCACACAGCTCCCCTTGGCCCACTTCGCTCACATGGCTGCCCCTCACCCCGAGGAGCCTGGGAAACTTCCTCTCCACAGCCGCGTTCCCCCAGAAGGGGCGCAGTGCCCTCGCATCTGGAGGGGGGGGTGCCCTTGTTCTCCCGTGTGGACCCCGTCAAAGGGGAATCAGAGCGTGTGCCCGCCACACTGGCACAGCACGCCAAGGGCACGGCACCCCCACAGTGCCCGCTGGCTGCGAGCCAGGGCCCCAGCTCTGAGCTCTCAGCTTCCCGGCTGGGCCCACCCTCTCCCACCTCTGCCCTCTTCCCTAAGCCGGGGCCCTGGGCGGGCCAAGCTCAGGGCTCCCTCCCGGGCCTCACCTGGGCCGGCCGGCCCGCCCTCCTTGCAGATACGGCGAACCCCGGCAAGCTCCGCACCATCCCCATCCCGGTCGCCAGGTGCTACACCTACAGCTGGAAGCAGGACAGCTTCGGTAAGCAGCCGGCCTGGGCCCGCGGTGCCCACCCCAGCGGTGCCCACCCCGGCGGCCGGGGCTCTCTCCCCCGCCCGTCTGGGCAGCAGCCTCCCTCCCCACCGGCCTGCCGGCCTGAGCAGGCCCTGGGCAGGGCAGAGCCGCACTCTGAGTCCCGGGCTGGACCTGATCCACCTCTGGCATCTCCTCCCCAAGTCCGTTCTGTCTGAACCTGTTACCCCCCCCAAAGGCGAGCAGGAGAGGGCTCCTGGGCCGCACACCCAGCGACACCTCCCTTATCTCCCCCCTCCCTGGCCCCCCACAGACGTCCTGACGGAGATGCTGCTCAAGGAACAGGAGCTACTGCAGCCCGGGCTCCTGGGGGACGACGAGGAGGAAGAGGAGGAGGAGGAGGAGGAGGAGGAGGAGGAGGAAGAGGAGGAAGAGGAAGAGGAGGAGGACTTGGAAACGGACGGGCCGTGCGCCCAGAGGGACTCGCTGTTTTCCATCAGCTCGGAGGCCTCCCGGGACTCCGCCCTGAGCCTCGCCTCCTCCCAGGCCTCGGGGGCCACCCTGTCCAGCCAGCTGCTGAGCTCCTTCGTGTCGGGCCTGTCGGACGGCGTGGACAGCGGCTACGTGGATGACAGCGAGGAGAGCTCCCCGGAGTGGCCCCGGAGGCCGGGCGGCCGGGGGCGGCGGGGCTACCGCAGGCCCGGGCCCAAGTTCAACCGCATCTACAAACTGTTCAAGAGCACCAGCCAGCTGGTGCTGCGGAGGGATTCCCGGGGCCTGGAGGGCGGCCCGGACGCGGCCCTGCCCCTGCGGCGGGCCGGCAGCCTCTGCAGCCCCCTGGACGGCCCGGCGCCGCCCCCCGCCCGCGCCCAGCGCTCCCGCTCGCTGCCGCAGCCCAAGCTCGGCGCCCAGCTGCCCAGCTGGCTCCTGGCGCCCGCCTCGCGCCACCAGCGCCGCCGCCCCTTCCTCAGCGGGGACGAGGACCCCAAGGCCTCCACCCTCCGCGTGGTGGTCTTCGGCTCCGACCGGATCTCGGGGAAGGTCGCCCGGGCCTACAGCAACCTGCGGTGAGAGCCGGGGCTGGGCGCGTCCCTGCGGGTGGCGGTGGTGGTGGTGGTGGTGGTGGTGCTGGTGCCTGTGGCACCTCAGGCTTGAGCTCAGGTCTCACAGGGACCCACCCCGGGGCACCTTCTCACCACCTTCTCGTCGCCAGGATGCTGGAGAGCAACCGCCCCCTCCTCACCCGGTTCTTCAAGCTGCAGTTTTTCTACGTGCCCATGAAGCGGAGCCCCGCCTGCAAGGCCCCCCGGAGCCAGACACCGCCCCCGCCCCCCGAGTCCCCGAGGCACCCCCTCCCCACAGTACGTCCCGGCCCTGCACCAGGGGGGGGGGGAGCAGGTGGACGTGAGCAGGTGGCAGTCGTCCGAGAGGGCAGGTTGAGGCCGCGGAAGCCATCACTGGTTGGGGGGCGCCCTCTCCTGCCTCGCCCTCGCTCCCAGGAGTGGTCCCCGCCCTGCACTGGGGGGTGGCGCTTTGCTGTGTGACACAGACGTGTCCGAGGGCAGGGGGCAGGGGGCAGGGGAGCAGGGGGAGCTCCGATTAGGGCTGCAGGGCTGCCCAGGGCCCTGGCAGGCCTCCTGGGTCGCTGGGCATGACTCTCGCTTGGCCCCTTGTCTCAGGAGCTGGGCCCTGCCCAGTGGGAGGAGAGCACCAACGACATCTCTCACTACCTCGGCATGCTCGACCCCTGGTATGAGCGCAACGTGCTGGGCCTCATGCACCTGCCCCCCGAGGTCCTGTGCCAGGTAGGTGGCCCCGGGAGGGGAGAGAAGGCCCACGGGCTGGGGCCACCCGCCTGGCTCAGAAGGCCTGGGTTTGGGGGGATCCAGCTCGAGGACTCCACGGAGGACCAGGGTGCCTTGGGGATGAGCAGAGGGAGTAGGCGAGAAGCAGGGCAGGGCTCTGGGGGTTGAGGGGGGCTCAAGGATCCGGGGGACCTGGGCTTCCGCCCCCGTCCTCAGCGCCGCTCCGTCCAGCTCCGCCAGGGGCCTTCCTGAGCCCCGGGCCAGGCCGGGGAGCGGTGTGGAGACCGGCTGTGGGTGCTCCCCCGGCCTCTGTCTCCTGCTTTCGCCTCACCACTCCTCCCCCTCCTGGCTCTCTCCTCTGCCTCTCCCTCTCGTCTCCCCCCCCCCCCCCCCCCCCCCCGCTCGCTGCCCACCTGCCCCTCCGGCTCTGGCTCCCCGGACGCAGCAGTCCCTGAAGGAGGACTCCCGGCCCCTGGAGGGCTCGCCCGCCCAGCTGCCCATCCTGGCCGACATGCTGCTCTACTACTGCCGCTTCGCTGCTAGGCCGGTGCTGCTGCAGGTCTACCAGACGGAGGTGAGCGCCGCCGCCCCAGCCACTGCTCCCTCAGACTCACAGGCCCCAGCCTGGGCCCCGCCCCACCCCACGGCAGCCCCCAGCCCGGAGCCGGAGGGGCCTGGTGGGTCCCTGCAGGGGCCTCACTGAGGCCTGGCTCGCCCTCCGCAGCTGACCTTCATCACCGGGGAGCAGGCCACGGAGATCTTCATCCACTCCCTGGAGCTGGGCCACTCCGCTGCCACGCGAGCCATCAAGGCTTCAGGTGAGAGCGTGGGAGGCAGGTGGGGGGGCCCCAGGAGGCGGAGCCCTGGGGAGGGAGGGCCCTGGGAGGCAGGGTCACGGGAAAGCAGGGCCAGAGGTGGGGGGCCGGGAGGCGGAGCCCCAGGGCCTGCCCGTGGCACCGAGTGAAGCGTCTGTCTGCGTGTGGCACAGGTCCTGGCAGCAAGAGGCTGGGCATCGATGGGGACCGGGAGGCCGTCCCGCTAACACTACAGATAATCTACAGCAAGGTAAGGCGGTGCCAGGCCCGGCCCTCCGGGGTCGGCTCCCGGTCCTCCTCACGAGGAGCCAGACTCGGTTCCGGGCCCCAGTTTTTACGCTGGAGACCGCAGAAGGCCTTCCCCCGGGCCCCGCCCCTCCTGAAGGTGCCAGCAGCTCCTGGGCGGTGCCAGGGCCTGGCTGCAGGGTGAGGGTGGAGAGGGAGGCAGGGCTGGGGCATCCAGAGGCACCACGAGGGAGCGGCCACGGTCCGGGGGCCTGTGTGCCAGGTGGATGCATGGGGGGTGGGATGAGAGGGAGAGGGAGTGAAGAGATATCTGAAGTAAGAGAGGAAGGGATGCCCAAGAGCATGAGTCTCTGAGCATGTCACACTTTGGGGGACAGGCCACGAGAGCCCTGACCTCACCAATGGGGGCCTCTCCTGCCTTTTTTTCCTCCTTCCTTCTTTCAACCATTCTCAAGATATTTATTTAGCACCAGCTCCTGCCAGCCCTGTGCTGTAAGCAGGGGGGCTAGGCCCTGCCCTTGGCTTTTTCAGAAGAGAGAGACAGACAGGAAACAAGGAAATGGCCACGGTAATGTCCGACAGGCAGTCACAGGGCTGATGGGATGGTGATCATGGGCTACTAATTCACATTTGGTGGCCATGAGGTGGGCAGGCGGGGCTGACCCTGAGAGCTCTGTGCCAGGTGTTTGTTAGCGCCTCCCGAGTCCCAGGCATTGTTCTGGGCACAGGTAGTGTTGTCAAGAGTGAATAAGCCGAAACCGGTTTGGCTCAGTGGATAGAATGTCGGCCTGAGGACTGAAAGGTCCCAGGTTCGATTCTGGTCAAAGGCATGTGCCTTGGTTGTGGGCACATCCCCAGTAGGGGGTGTGCAAGAGGCAGCTGATTGATGATTCTCTCTCATTGTTGTTTCTAACTCTCTATCCCTCTCTTTTCCTCTCTGTAAAAAAAAAAAATCAATAAAATATATAAATAAATAAAAACAGGGGGGGAAAAAGAATGAACAAAATGCTTACAGCCTGGCAGATGGCAGGCATTAGTTAGATGGAGCCACAGATGTATGATTAAAACTGTGACACAAAGATGAAGGAGAGGTACATGGTACTGAGAGAACCTCCAGGGGATTCTTCAACCCGGTCAGGAAAGTTAGACGCTTCCTAGAGAAGAGACATTGAGTCAATATTAGGGGGAGGGGGCAACAGGAGTTAGTTAGCTAAGCTAAAAAGAGAGAGGGATATATTCCCCAGAGGAGGCAGCATGTGCAAAGGCCCTGTGGTAGAAGAGAGCATGAACAGCACAGGTGAGGCTAAAGAGAGAGGCGGGGTCAGAATGCCAAGGGCCTTAATTGTAGCAAGAGGAGTTTTGTCCAGTCACAGGAGCAGTGGTATTAAGTTAGGGGAGGAGCTGGGAATGTGTGTGACAAGATCAAATCTGAGGTTTAGAAGTTCCCTCCAGCAGCTCTGTGGAGAACAGATTGGAGGGCCCACGGGGCATAGCAAGGCCCATCGGAGGCTCCGGTGGTTTTCCAGGAGGGAAATGTGGCAGCCAGCTAGGCTGGTGGTGGTGGAGATGGACAGGAATGGGGGCCGTACGTGGACTATGTGAGCAGCAGAGCTTGGGGGATGGGTTGGAAAAAAGGGGCCCGGACTCCCGGATTTCAGTCTTCCAGAACGAATGTGCGTTGTCTCAGAAGCAGATCAGGAACGTGAGTTTGCAGTGCCCTTGAGAGGGAGAAGGAAGAAGTCAGAGCAGGCAGTCGGATGGATGGCCCTGGACTCAGACATGACATAGAATGAGGGGGTGCATAGGTCGTTGAGGTTCCCTAACAGAGAACAGACAAGTGCAAAGAGCAGAGGAGCAGGGAGAAGGGCCTGAGCCCTGTGCCGTGTGACCGCAGGCAGAGGAGGATATAGAGCTGAGCAGAGGCACCGGCCGAACGGTGGTGAGGAGCCAGGAGCCCCTTGCAAAAGCCCAGGAGAGGAGAGGGGTGAACAGAAGCAAACTCTCCTTGCAACGGCAAGTGAGCTGACCTTGAGATTGACCGAGGACCGAGAAACCAGCTTGGGTTTGGCAACGTGGAGGCCCCCAACCAAAGGGAGTGCCAGGCTGGCTCTGCCAGGAGCCCCAAGCCTGCGGGCCCCTCTCTTCCTACTCTGGGCTCAGCAGGAGGTCATCAAGGCCACCCCTTAAGGTGCTCTCAGCTCCCGTGTCCTATGACCTGGCCACAGGCTGACCCATGGACCAAGCCAGCGACAGGATGCCCTCGCCAGAGTCAGCACGGTCTGCACGGGGCTGGGGCTCTCAGGGAAGGAGCCGGCAGTCCCTGGGGAATGAGAGAGAGCCCCCTGGGTGTGCCCACCACAGGCAGCTCCGGGCCCTGGCAGTCTGGGCCTCCTCTCTGAAGGGAAAGGGGGCAGGCCACGGGGCCCCGAGCTGAGGGAGGACCCGGTTTGCTGCCTTTCCAGGGGGCCATCAGCGGACGGAGTCGCTGGTGTAACATGGAGAAGGTCTGCACCTCCATCAACCTCAACAAGGCATGCCGGAAGCAGGAGGAGCTAGGTTGGTCAGGTGGGCCATGCAGGGGGGGGGGGGGGGGCAGGGAGGGGCTCTGAGCCGGGCCTGAGCACCCCTGCCCTTCAGACTCCGGTGTCGAGTCCCTGACGCTAAACCTGACGGAAGTGGTGAAGAGGCAAAACTCCAAATCCAAGAAGGGCTTTAACCAGGTAAGGGCTCCCCTCGCCTCGAAGCCACACCCTCAGGAGACTCACTGGGGGGTTAACGCACCGGTGTGTGTGCACGTGGGCACGCTGTGTGAGAGGAGGGGTGTCCAAGGCTGCGGGGGTGTGGGTGGGAGGAGGGGCAGGGTGAGGGGTGAGGTTTGGGGTGTGCACACACGTGGAGTGCTGGGGGGGGGGGCGTTAGGAGGAAGGGCTGAGAGAGGATATGTGGTGTGGAAGGGTTCCGCCCTAAGTCGGAGGCGGAGTGGGCTGTGGGACGCCCAGGGCTCTCACGGCGGGGAGGTGGGGGGGATGGAGGCGGGGTGGGGGGGGGGGCAGAGCACGATGCAGCTTCTCCTCCAGGGCACTTGCTTCTTCCAGGCTCAGGAAAGGGCAGGGGCTGGGGCGGAGCCAGGGCCTGAGCCGTGGACAGACAGACGCCCACCCCACCCCAGGGCAGCGGGCACTTCCCCGGGACTGACCGGGGCCTTCCTTCCAGATCAGCACCTCGCAGATCAAAGTGGACAAGGTGCAGATCATCGGCTCCAAAAGCTGCCCGTTCGCCGTGTGCCTGGACCAGGACGAGAGGAAGATCCTGCAGAGTGTGGTCAGGTAGGCGGCGCCGCTCGCCCCAGCCGAGAGGGGGAGGGAAGGGGTCAGGGTCTGTGTGTTTTCCCGGGGCCCGGGCGTGGCCGGAGGGACGTGAGCCTGACCGGACGCCTGCCCCGCCCGCAGGTGTGAGGTCTCGCCTTGCTACAAGCCAGAGAAGAGCAGCAGCCCCTGCCCCCAGCCCCAGAGGGCGCCCCACTCGCCAGCCCAGGCCACGCCCGATCTCTGCTCCCTCCTCTGCCTGCCCATCATGACTTTCAGCGGAGCTCTGCCCTAGCGAGGCCCTGCGCCCACAGCCCCGCACCCTCAACCGGCTCACCCCGATGGGACGACCAGAAGCAGCCTCTTCTGAGCCTCTCCAGACGGTCGGCTGTGCAGGTCTCGCTCCTGGAGAACCACACGGGCCTGCGCTGGGTCAGGGCCCGCTGAGGCCCTGCAGGGCAGGGCACCGGTGGTTTCTGGGGCCTTGGGGCTCTGCTTGGACAGAAACAGGCTTTGGGGAGAGGGGCCTGGCCACACAGCCCCTGTGGTTCCTGAGGCAGGAAGGAGAGCTGACCTCTGAGAGCCCCGCCCACCAACATGGTCAGCATCCTTTCTAGAAAAAGGTCCGGAGGCCCTGGTGCTCTGGGGTCTGGGTTCGGCCTCCTCTCCCAACCTGCGGTCCAGGGGGGCCCACTCCTTCCTTTGTCAGAGGCCTGGGAAACTCTGTGTCTGGAGTTCAGTTCCCTCGACTCCAGAAGTGGAGATGAGACTTTTCATTCCTGACCTTCAGACTAGCCCCCATCTCTGTCCCCCCTTTCTCTCCCCCTACCTCTCTCTCTTCCACTCTCTCTAAAATTCAGTGAAAAAAGATCCGCAGGTGAGGAGTATGAAAGAAAGAAAGAAAGAAAGAAAGAAAGAAAGAAAGAAAGAAAGAAAGAAAGAAAGAAAGAAAGAAAGAAAGAAAGAAAGAGAGAGAGAGAGAGAGAGAGAGAGAAAGAAAGGAAGGAAGGAAGGAAGGAAGGAAGAAAGAAAGAGGGGAAGGGGAGGGAGGGAGGGAGGGAGGGAAGGAAGGAAGGAAGGAAGGAAGGAAGGAAGGAAGGAAGGAAGGAAGGAAGGAAGGAAGGAAGAGAGGGAGAAGAAAGAGAAAGAAAGAGGGAGGGAGAAAAGAAAGGAGGGAAGGAGAGAGGAAAGGAGGGAGGGAGGGAGAGATAGAGAGAGGGGGGGAAGAAGGAAAGAAGGAAAGAAAGAGAAGAAAGGAAGGAAATGAAGGAAGGAAGGAAGGAAGGAAGGAAGGAAGGAAGGAAGGAAGGAAGGAAGGAAGGAAGGAAGACAGGCTAGGGCGATAGGGTGGAGGGCAGGGCCGGGGCCAGGATTCGAACTGGTGGAGGTGGGGAAGGGAACTTTGCTAGCAAACAATTGTATGGTGCACAGATCCCCTCCTTCCTTTCCTCCTGCTTCATCCTGATCCAAAGGTTCTGAGCCTATAGGCGCCCAGAGTGTTCACAACAGGAGAGAAGTGGACAGAGCCGGCTCCTATCCGGAATCGCCACGCCTACCGTCCCAGCCAGGCACCAGAGGGCGGTCGGCTGTGTGCCTTCAGTCTTTTTTATTGTGTGAATAGGATGACCTACTGTATGAGCGAGGGACATCCAAGAATAAATGAATTTAATATTATTGTTAAATAAAACATTAATCTTGTATTTAAAGACCTGGAATTATTTTTGTTGTATGTCAACTAACTGCTAGTTGGGCAATTCACATAAGTTATTTCACGTACAGCAGAAATAAGATTCTTGGAGTTGTTTTGTTTACTTGGGGAATTTTCTTCTCTGTAGGAAATGTATTTGTGCTTACATTTTCCCTGACACTGTTCCATTTAAGCCTTATCATGCTGCTGAGAGCTAGGAAAGTCAGCTCCGTGCAGGCCCTCGGATCTGGGGGTGTTTTCGGTCTTGGGGCACAGGCAGGGAGAGAAGAGGAGGCAAGGGGTTGTGGGGAACATCTGTGACCTGGGAGAGGTACGTGGACCAAACACAGCCGCTGGACACGGAGGAAGAAAGAGCCGTGAGCTGCTCTGGGTCTGCACCAGCCCGCTATCGCCAACAGTAAAGCACACCTGATACTCTGTGCACTAACCGTGCTTATTTACCCTATTTCCCCGAAAATAAGACAGTGTCTTATATTATTAGACGTTATTTTTGCTCCCAAAGGTGCGCTAGGTCTTATTTTCAGGGGATGTCTTATTTTTCCATGAAGAAGAATACAGTACGCATTTATTGTTAAATGTATACGGTACGATAGTACGGTAGTTGTCAACACAAACCAGACAAACTGTGACTCCTACAGTATCAAGAATTTACTCATTTATTCAATGACAATCATGTCATCATCTTCTGGAACATCATCATAACAATCCAATTCCTGAATTTCCTGGTGAATTTCTTGTGACTCCATTTCTTTCAGAATCAGTGGACCAAATCTCTCATGTTTAGCCTGGGGGGGGGTGTCTTATTTTAGGGGGATGCCTTATATTTCACTCAGAAGGAAACCGGTAAGTAGGTCTTATCTTATTTTTGGGGAAACACAGTAGTCTCGCTCGTACATCGAGGGGTCCCTGGCCTGAGGATGGGCTCAGCGTGGCTGGGTTCGGGCTGCAGGCTGGGCTTTGGTCTGCTCGGTGGGTCTCTCAGGCATGTTCGCACTAGACAGGAAAGCAGAGACAGTTGCTGCCTTCTCGGTCCTGGGCTTGGGACTGGTGCAGCATCTCCTCCTGACATTCAGCTGGCAAAAGGGAAGAGGCACAACAACTCCTAACTCAGCAGATCTCACACAGAATAAAAACAAAACTACCTGAGAAGAGCACTTCACTTCAATTCTTTCCAAAATCCCACAACCCTAGTCTAACGGAGAAGATGTCAGATAACCCAGGTGGGACATTCTACAGGATAATCTGGCCAGTTCCTCCGACAGTCGGTGTCATAAAAAAACAAGGAAGGACCAAAGGAGACGTAGGAGACCTGAAAACTAAATGCAATGTGGCACCAAGGATTGGCTCAGAAAACAGAAAAAACGGGTGAAATTCCCAATCTTTGGTAGTTACGAATATAACCGCTGTAAACATTGTACTGCGTTCCATGTGGACGTGTATTTCCAACTTATTTGGGCAAATGCCAAAAAGCACAATTACTCAACCACGTGGTGTAAGCATGTTTGGCTGTAAAACCAATGCCAGGCTGCCTTCCTGAGTGCCATGGCCCTTGGCACGCTCCCAGGGGGCAGAGAGTTCCCGTGGCTCCACAGCATCATCAGTGCCTGGTGCTGCCAGCAACTTGGGTCCCCCCTTTCCAGTGGGTGTGCAGCAATGCCTTTGTGGTCTTAATCTGCGATTCCCCAGTGACTGTGGCGTTGAGCATCTTCCCGTGTGTGTATTTGCCACGTGCATGCCTTCTTCCATGAGGTGTCTGTGCAGATGCTTTCCCCATTTTTAAGTTCGTTTGTTTTCTTAATGTCAAATCATGTTTTCTTTGTGTGTTTTGGGTACCAGGCCTTTTGCAGACACAGTAAATGCTTTGCTAATATGTCTTCCAGTCTGCGGCTTGTCTTTTCGTTTTCGTAGCAGTGCCTTTTGCCAAGCAGATGGTCTTCGTTTTAATGACATCCGATTTAGCAGTTTGTTCTTTTCTGGCAGCTCGGAGCTTCCTCTGGGGCTCAGAATGCAGTGGTCAGCCAGCCTCCTCAGACCTTCCCTGCGGTCCCTGACCTGGGCTCCACGAGCCCTCCAGAGGCACCTCCCCACCCCTGTCTGCTCCGAGCGGAGGCACCAGAGTGGGGTCCAGCCCCCCACAGCCCCACCCTCACAGGAGACGGCGGTGGGCCTGCAGCTGGATGCCTCTCCAGAGCTCAGACCCCCATCCTCCCTGTCACCCCCACCCCTCCAGCACTGGGCTTCTCGCTTTTCAGGGAGGAAGCCACGCCCTCCTTTCCCGTTTCTGCACCCTTCTATTTCCCCCCCCCATCCCTGCCGCTACATCAGGTCCTCCGGGGAAGGGGCACTGTCCCCACCACCCTGGGGGCCCAGGCAGTGCGTCAGAATCTCCATCTCCAATGGGACCAGAAGCATGAAACAGGAAACCTCAGGCAGAGTCAGGAAAACAGAACTTAAGGACCAAGAGAGACTGGTTTCCCATAAATGCCTGGTTGGGAACTGATAACCCTGGGGTTTTGTCAGGGGGAGTTGGTTAGGGGTTGCCTCGCATCAACCTCGGGAAGTTTTGCTTATGGTTTCCAGAGGCGTGAACAAAACACCACCCAGGTGGGGTTAATCTCACAAAATACTGAATTGAACTCTGTTTGTCTGCAGGGAGTTTTCAAGGCTGGTCTCCATTTGTTCTCCATTTTAACAGGCTCCACCTGAACTCTCCCACCTTGCATTCTCTGTTCACTAATACCACCCTCCCCAACCCTTCCGCAGACTGGCCTGTAGCTTTACAGTTCACACGACCCAAATTGCAATTCCTCACTATCACAGAATAAACTCACCTTTTTATAGTCTTGAGCTTGTCTCCTTTTAGCTCTTTAAAAAAATATATATTTTTTATTGATTTTTACAGAGAGGAAGAGAGATGGACAGAGAATTAGAACCATTGATGAGAGGGAATCATTGATCAGCTGCCTCTTGCACACCCCCTATTGGAGATGTGCCCGCAACCAAGGTACATGCCCTTGACCGGAATCGAACCTGGGACTTTTCAGTCCGTAGGCCAAAGCTCTATCCACTGAGCCAAACCGGTTTCAGCTCCGTTTACCTCTTTACTGAGGCTGATAACAGGCAGGTGGCAGACGGTCCCCACCTGTGTCGCTTCAGTTCTCCGTTCTGTGCAGCAGGCACACACCTGTGTCCCAGCTCGGACCACAGCCCCCTGCCATAGCTCAGGTTGCCATAGCAGAGTACCAGGTGGGCAAGGGCTTAATCAGCAGCCATTCATTCTCACAGTCCTGGGGGCTGGCATGTCCAAGGCCAAGGCGCTGGCAGGCTCTGTCTGTGAGGAGAACTCTCCTCCTGGTTGCAGATGCCACCTTCTCGCCGTGTCTTCACAAGGTGCGGAGAGGAAGCTCTGTCTCCCTCTTCTTACAGGGACCCAGGTCCCATCATGGGGGCCCTGCTCTCATGATGTCACCTAAGCCTCGTTGCCCTCAGAGGTCCAACCTCTTAGTACCGTCGCCTTGGGGTACAACATATGACTGTTGGGAAGACACTGTAAAATGAAAATAAATGGAGATGGAGCTGCCATCCCA